CACTGGAAATAGGCGAGTGTCTCGATTGGGCATAAAAGGAGCTTCCCTGACTTGCTCAGTCAATCACAAGCAAAGATGGGGCGAGGTTGACCTATTTGTGAACAGCTCCGCGAGAAAATAGGTAGCCCAACAGGTTAAGAACACCATTTTTCAACTTGCAATCTGAAATAATTTAGAGATTTCATCATCTACGGTCCAAAATGTCACCAAAGTTTCAAATAATGTGGAGACATTTCTGAGCATAAGCGGCAAGGCCGAAAAAACCCCAACATTGACTGCACGTGTCGTTTGATTTGTCCAAGCGACACTGAATAAGAAAACAAGACAATAAAAAAACAGCATCCTTGTGTAAAAGATATTGCCACATGGGCTCAAGAACACTTCATAAACTTTTGTTTCTGTCAACAATTCCCTTTTAAACTTTGTCACTACAACTGCAAGAACAAGTTAAAATTCCACTATGGAAAGTGAAAGCCATATATCGACAACGCACGGAAACGCCGCCAGTTACTCTAGGTGCAAGCTCATCTGAGATGGACTAAGTGAAAGTGGAAAAGTGTTTTCTGTGCTCTGATGAGTTTGTATTTGTTTGATGCTCTCCCTGTGTTGGACTGGCAGAACTTGCCTGCTCTTGAGTTGATTGAAGGATTTATACAGAACGTCATCGTTCCATTCGTAGGTTGACAGCTCATTTGAAGGGCTGATGATGGAGAAGGCGTAGATCAGGTGTGTGCAGAGATGGGGGTCCACATTTTCTGGCATGTATCTTCCAACACCTGGCCTGTACTGGGACCAGTTGGTAAAGTAACAGACCAGTTTGCTGGAGGACACTGTTGGAAAGAAGAGGAATGCAACAAATAACGCAGCCGCTGTTGGAGAAAAGGGGCGCCATGAACATAGCCAAGGACGAACCAACTTGAAGGCACATCCAGAGGGACAGTCCTGAAAAAGAGAGCTCAAAATGATGACGTATGTTGAGGTTTTGGTACTGGACATGTGCCTTTGTTTCAAATGGAAGTTCAAATTAGAAGTTTACCAGCCAATAGTTGTAGCTGAGCCATGTTTGTGGATCGCCGCTATGAACAGAGATAATCACGGATGTCAGTTCTTGTTAAAAATGGTTCGAAATTCACCTGTTGAAGCTCCAAACATCAGCAGTCCTCTTACCTGGTCGAACGCAATTGGCTGGCTGTGTTTGTTCCACATGTGGAAGTGGGTTTTATAGTATGCTCAGGAGGGACAAAGGCTGCATGCCGCCCCAGCCAGACAGATGCTCTCAGAAGCACAACGTCCGCTGAGAAAAGCAAGCCATTAGTTGGGTAGCTCCGATGATAATCTACTTCTCTTGAAACATAAACCAGGATAACGTAACGGCGGTTATGTAAATACTCCTCCTGAAGATAAGAACAACTTGATAAATGTTTCCATCATGCGTTCGGTTCCTCACACGCAATCGGACACTTGTAAAGTGTCTCTCATTTTATATTTATCTAGCTTGCAGATCCTCGCGCTGAACTCCGGACTTCAACTTGCTCCACTGTTACCCCACTTTTTACCTTCATTCCACTTTTATTCTCATTTTTATCACTTTTTTTTTTTTTTTTGGTCATGTTCAAGTTGTCAAGCAGGAAAGGAAGTTGCCACATTTGCCCTTGCTACATAGCTGACTCACAATAAATGTAATCCAATTCTAACAACACAGTGCACATTAGACATTACAACATTACAACACACATTAGAACGGCGTACGCTGATTGAATGTCTGCCAACTTGCTGCCTGCCTGCACACTGACACCGACCGCGACTCAATTACTGAGAGGTTACTATGATGACTATGACTATGATGCGCTAAGGTCGACTCAATTACTGAGAGGTTACTATGATGACTATGATGCGCTAAGGTTCATTACAAAATGCTCTTGTGTGCACAGTACAGTAGTTGTGTTGGTTGAGTTTGTCTTGGTGTAGAGTGAAGATAAACACTGGCCCCTTTTTTTGTGTTTCATTTAAATTTTTGTAGGCTCGTACCATAATAAAGTGAGTTTTTAACCGCCTTTGGTTGCAGTTTTTTTTTTTTTAATTGTAAATGGGCAGTTCGCGTTGGGCCAGCATGGCTGCAGTGGTGGAGTGATCTTCTCCCAAACCAGAGGTTGCGGGTTTGATCCCCAGCCCTTGTGAACATCTGTCGTCCAAGTGTCCTGCAGCCAGATACTGAACCCCCTGCTGTTCCTGATGCAGCGTCATCAGCAGGTGCACAAGGAGACAGTGTTAAAGCGCTTTGAGTACCTTGTCGGTAGATAAGCGCAACAGCAGTCAGCGAAAGCCTAGTTGGCAGAAGGCGTCTAAAAAGTCACTCTGCCACTCCCTCCGGAGAGCTGCTGTCACTGAAACACTTTTAAAGGCCTACCGAAAGACTTGGCAGCACACATTTCTGGACTGTTGTTGTTTGAGCAGCATTTCAGGATCCCTCCATTTTTGTACCTCGAACCATTTATTGTTCATTTTTCACATGTATGTTGATTATTTGTGAGTTGAGTGTCGGTTTCGCAAAAGAGATTCTTTTAGACTCCTGTGGTTAATTGGAGGTTTAATTATAAATCTTTGTGTTACAAATCAAGTTCATGCACGTATAAGCGATGTTTCCAATCCATCATACAATTTTCGTTGTCAGCACTCCAAATGTTGACATATTGTTTCAGTCTTCCATCCAGTGTGCACAGTATGTCGACTTTAGCATTTTGCCATCCAATGCAGCAATCACTGAGGCAGCAAGAACACAATTTCACTCTATCGGTTAATAATGCCTTCAATGCTGGTGCGGTGATATGATAAGAAGATTCTTTTTGCCACTAAACTGTGTGATGCAACAGGGAGGTGGCTTGTGGAGAGGCGACTGGTTCAAGGGTTCAAGACAACGAACACGTCATGCAGCAAAAAATTCAAGGTCATTGATAATAGAAGCCTGCTCATTCAAGGTTATTACTACAGTTAAATTTATTTTCAAAGGTCCTGTTAATTCCAAAATGTATTTCCCAATACTGTAGATGTTTGAAGATAATTGCTGAAAACATGCGAAGACGAAGAACTATGCAGTGCGTATTATACTCAGTTTTGGAGCCAAAGCATTAAGCTAATTTCAAAACCCTAATTTTTGGCCGTGTCAAAAATGATATCGAGTGACACTCTTCGGCTCACCCTTCCCCCACTAAATAAGAATTAGGGCACCTATGTTTGCATCAGACTAAATGGAAGCAAGACTAGGACTAGCTAAGATGACACTGAACAGTCCAGATGCCTATCGCAGATAACATTTTGCTGACTGAATGTTTTCAGAGCTGAAATAGGAATGCTCCAGTTATCTGTTTCATGTCTAATAAAATCATTTTTTCTTCATACTGTACACACGTATTTGTAATTGACATGTTTATACTGTATTACATGTTCATGTTTTTACTTCTATAAATGTGCATACTGTATTCTACGTTCTAGTTGGCGGCTGTTTTCTTGGAAATGGTTCCAACGAACGAACGTCATAACATACAGATTCATTATGTCCCTCCAGGTACATTGTAACGAGGTTCGACTGTACTGTATATTTATCATTGTCCCCGAATGACGCCAGTAGCACTAAGGTGTCGTGTTCCTGTCTCAAACAAATTCACAACTGCACAACCCAAAATTTCCTTCAACTAAACCAAAACAAAACTGAAGTGATTGTTTTTAGCAATAGAGAAAAGAAGATTGCTGTTAGTAAACACTTAGAGTCACGTCTATAAAAGGCAAAGACTAAGTCCGAAACCTTGTGGTGCTGATTGATTCCGATCAGACTTTCAGCAGTCACATCAAATCAATCACTAAAACAACTGCACCTCAGGTTCTGACCATAACAAAGTGAACAGAACATATGACTCCAGTCCTAAAGGCTTTACATTGGCTCCAGCCAGCTGGAGAAGAGATTTTTTTTTTAAATTCAGCTCCTGGTCCATAAATTGCAGAAGGGTGTATGTACATCTTAAAGACACGCTCATGGAATATAAACCCAATGGGGCTGCGAGGTCTGCAAATGTGCTTCACTAACTAGAGCCCAGAATTCAAGTCAACACGGTAAAGCAGCATTCAGCTGTTATGATGCAGGCAAATTGAATAAGCTGTCAACAGAAGTGAAGTCAGCTCTAAGTGTAAATGTTTTTACATCCAGATGAAAAATGTTGCTCTTTTACCGTACCTATGATGAAGGTCCTTTAAGGAATTTTTTAATTTGTGATCTCCAAAAACACTGCAGTGTACTTTGTTACTAATTTTAGTCAGCGGCTTTGTGTTTATTTACTTTGCTTTTGTTTGTAAATGCTAACAAGTGTTGTACTTTGTTTGTTTTGGGAAGCTCATTGAGTTACAAGCGCTGGATTGGCAGTTTGGTGGGCGTGGTTTCAGTGGACATAGAACATCTTGATTTGTCACTATTTGAAGCCTCATCTGACAAACTTGGTGATTTTGTAATCAATCAAATTTGACAGCATTGTTGATGACTCCCTTCTCTGTGGTGTGTCAGATTTTCACATGAAGTTTGGAAAAGGAGCAGTAAAAGAGAACATAAGCACCATTCCAAAATGTAATATTCGACACGTGATTTACAATGCAGCAATGGGTGGAATATACAGCGAGCACACTGTGGATATACTGTGAGCAGCAAACAAGCCACGTGAGTCATTTCTCTCTTGTGAGTGGAAGGTTACAAGAAGTTACATTTACAATATGACACCATCTCATTTTCCATGCAGCAGAGCTGCAAACTGATTGGCCGACGGAATTTAATTAATTAGTCATTGGAAATATCTTGAAACGAGCAGCCGTTAAATCGTTGTTCAGAGGTTCTAAAACAGGGGTGTCAAACTCATTTTTGTCGGGGGCCACATTTTAGTTACCGTTTCCCTTGGAGGGCCATTATGACTGAAACCATATTAAAAAGTCAATAATAACGGTTTATTCAACTATTGTTTAAGTTACTGTAATGAGGGGTTTGGTCACAAGAAAATGCTTACAATATGCCTCTTATTTATTACATATGAGAATTTAAAATTTTGGTAGAGATTTTAGTCAGCATCATGGAAGGTGATGTGTTTGATTTGCCTTCGCGGGCCTCATGAAATGATGTGGCAGGCCAGATCTGGCCCCTGGGCCTTGAGTTTGACACCTGTGTTCTAAAGGGTTAAAATTTCATTACTGATGTTGACAGAAAAAAAAAAAAAAAGAAACCAACGTTTGATGGAACGTTTCTGTCCTGCATTTGTTTTTTCTTATCAACGTGATAAAATGATTCACTTTTCATTCCAGGATCTGACTTGACACACATGCAAATGTGTCTGGAATGGCATGTGTTCTCATGATTTTGACGTGACCAAAGCTGAGTGTTTTCCCAGCTACGTGCCCATCGTTTTAGACCAGCTCGTCCTCCTGCTGGTCCTGGCAGTCTGCCTGAATTTGCCCTTTTCAAGCCAGGGAGTAGATGGCGTTCACTGGAGAATGCAGCTCCAAACTGCCACCAAAGTCCAAGTCCCTCACGTCTCTCCTTCGTGCCGTGTATTGGCCAATGAAGGACCCGTCCTCATTGAAGGGTATGTCTCCGCCGTCTCCGTAGTCCACCAGGCTGTCGTCGCTCTCTGACCTTTTCATCACAGCCTCCTTAGAAGGTGGTCCTCTCTGAATCCCCATTTCCTCCTCCCTACATTGGAAAAAAAAGTACAGTGGTGGCTTGAGATGCACCTTTTAATTTGTTTCACGCTTCCGACTTGTATCTCAAATCATGTGCCCCCATTGAAATGAACAAAAAAGCCATTACTTCCTCTGTTAAAACCCAGAAAGGCAATTGAGAACAGTTTCTCATTTACAATGCCGAACTGGAACCACTGTAGATTACAAACAATTGTATGGTCTGTGTCCTGCGATTGGCTGGCAACCGGTTCAGGGTGTCCCCCGCCTACTGCCCGAAGACTGACGGAATAGGCTTGTGAGGACCCTTGTGAGGATATAAAGCGTATCGGAAAATGAATGAATGAATTATTTAATTAATGTATGGTCTGTACAATTCAGTACGTTTGGAACCCGAGATTCTAATAAATAAATAAACAAACAAAATTCTCACTCACACACACACACACACACACACGCACACACACACACACGCACACTTTCGGGCTGTCCCTTCAATTATTATTTGAACACGGACAATTTGGAAGTATTTCCATTCTTGTCGACGGTGTCGAGCCCAATATAGAGCACGTACCAGCGTGGGTAGGGCAGAGTGGTGACACGTGCAAGCCTGCAGGAAAGGACATTTGTTTAGTTGAGCAGCCAGTGGAAGCCACGTTTTGCAGGAAAACTGCTGATATAGACCTACCTTTCAAGAGACCTTGTTGTTCAGAGGTGAAGGAAATGTTTTTTTTTTGAGGGGGGGGTGAAGAAAAAATAGATTTGAATGGAGGAAAAAAATTAGAGATGATGTGATCTGAACCTGTGCAGCATCATTTAAATCAGACACAATGTGTTTGGCTACATTCCACAGTTGTGCAATTTGACTGAATGGTTTGTTTACAAGAAGAGAACTTGAAATGGTTCCTGTCATTTGCCCGAGGCAGTATGACTTCCACATGGTTGCAGAGCAAAGGGAAGTCAATAGCATGAGAACAAAGCGCCCAATCCAGAAAGCTGTGACACTGGGGTGTCAATTATATTTCATCTGAATATGATGAGGGTGATTTGTCATAAGCCAAACAAGTGATCAAGACATTATTTTTACACTAATATTCCCCGTTCACTTTTGTCAGAATGTAGTGGGAACGGTTTCTCTCATACGTACCGATAGTCAAAAGAACCCTCTTGATCGATGTCATCCACAGGTTCTAATGAAATCTCTTTCTTTTCCCGTACTGCAATTGAAAAAAAGACAGTTAGGAGATGCCATGTGACAGATGGGCAATCTGCGGGCACCTGGGTATTTGCCCCCTCGGCTTCTCTTGATGAAACACACGATGAGTAGCATGAGCACGATGAGGGCCACGGCGCACATGATGCCAATGAACCAGCCCTTCGTGGAGAGGTCCACTTGATCCTGGGCGTAGACTGCGGATGAGCAAAGCTCACGTCATGCTCACATCTTCACACATAAACGCGCGAGCCGACAAATGCGCAAAGGCTTACTCTCGGTGGTGTAGTGCGGCGACTCCTCCGTATGCCACTGGCCCAAACCGAGTCGAGTTCGAGCGGCCACGGAGAAGCGGTATCGAGTGTAGCGGTCGTATCGCCGCAGTGAGAAACTGGTCACGTTTGCAAGGAACTCTTCCACTCTCTGCTCCTCTCCCTTGCTGGCATTCACTGTGGAGCCAGAGCAAATCCCAGTCGGTCAAGTCAGATATAATCATAGTGCGCTTCACTTCAACGAGCCTGCAGGTGGCAAATATTTACGGCATCCCATGATCTTAACCCTCAGGGGGGCAAAAATAAAACATTTGAGGAAAAATGAACAAGCTTGCGAAGGGGCCGCAGTTGGCGAGAGAGCCCTCTCTTCCAGGATGAGCAGGCAGCAATAGATGCCGAGTGGGCAACATTGAACATATCATGGGGCGTGAAACAATGTTGGTAAGAATAGTGTGAGAGTCCACGTAATAAGATTTGGACGAGTGGGTCTTCGTCAAAACCGGTGGGGTGCGGGAATCTGAAGAGGCGGGCCACCTCAGATCTGGTCCAGCTATCTGTACAGCGAGGTCCGATTCGGGGAATGCACAATGACCAGCAACGTCTGAGTGAAGAATCACCTGTCTGGTACTTGAGGGAATAGCCGCTGATAATTCCGTTGGGTTCTGCCGGTAGATCCCAGTCCACATAAATACTGTCAAGGTGTCGCTGCTGGATCCTGAAGGATGTGGGAGCGGATGGGACTACAGATGACACAGCAGATGATGACTTTCTCAACTCAACTTAATTAATGCGTTTTCACAACAAGCCACTGAACACACCACGCGAGTTAAAACGTTCATTTCCTTTGCACAAATACGTGAAACCAATGGGAAAAAAATTCTCCATTCCCACATAAACGCCCGGTTGTTCGAAGCGGTTCTAGATGATAAAGGAGCGATTCAAAGTCTTCCTTCGCCAGTTGATGAGAAATGAGGATTTAGAGTATTTGTTCAGTGAGGCCAAGAGTGGCGTCGACGCATTGCCAACTCGGTGTCCCTTGAGACCAGGACGTCGAGGTACTTCAGACCTTTCGTACCTCCTTCCGGTGTCGAAAAGTGGACATTGTTGCTGGGCGGGCCTTCATATCGACTGTTGGCCACTACGATGTACATCTTGTAGTTGCTGTAGGGGTTGAGGTCGGTGAGAACCCCCGAAGGCTCGGGGCCGGTGTCCGCAAACACTTGAGACCTCATCGCTCTGTTGACTCTCAGCCACCTAAGTTGGCTGCTGTCCCTCCAGTAGTAAACCTGCAAGGCCAACCACAAACAAGAAGCATTGTTTATTTGCTTCACTCACTTTGGGAAGGGCATAATCAAAATCACACATGGAAGAGGATTTATTTGGCATTATATTTCTGTTTGTTTTTAATATGAACATTTTGTTTTGCATTTAAACAAAAAGAGGAGTAGATGGATCAACCTAATGCTACTATGTAGTCTGTGCAGGCCATTCCGGAATTTGAAAGAACTGCTCATGCTCTTTGTTCAGAAGATGAAGAAGAGAGCAACATGAATTTGATATTCTTCACATTTCATTATTTGACTCACTTGCAACAACCATTTTTTCTCCATAAGATTTATGGAAATAAAAATGTCATCAAAATTTGCCACACTGCAGAGATGACTGTTGTTACCAACCTGCCACCTATGAATGAGTCAAATAAAATCAAGCCAAGTATGATTAAATGAGGCTTCAAAGTTATGAAAGAGATGTTCACGACACTTTCAAATGCTGTGGGCATGTCCACTAAATGTGCTGAAACCATGCATGCAAATCTGCAAATGTGAAAGGGTGAGGAAAAAAAAGTTGAATGCTTTCACTCCGCAACATTGTCATCGGTCTTTTCGCATGTTTTTACAAATTGCCTTTCAACACATATTTTGAAACAAATCTCAGAATTCACTTTACAGGGCTTTTAAAAAGTTATGATGCGAACTCACTGATTGTGAACATTTTCTGGATGCTTTGTATGGTGGGCTTGCTTTTCCTGCTCATAAAACAATGTGCAAGAAAACCCATGCCAAGGTGTCAACTCCTTTTCATATCGGGAGACAGAAGTTACCCACTGACCTAAAATTACTTTAACTGTCTGGTGATCACACACGTCACCTCATGTCTCCTGGATGTTGTCTTTGATATCGTGGCTTTTCAGTCTCGGTCAACGCACCTTATATTCTTTCAGTTCTCCCATGATGGAGCTTTGCGGCACCGGGTCCCAGTGCAGGGTCACCTGGGTGCCCTGAATGTCCGACAGTCTCAGGTTTTGGGGCGCACTAACGGGACCTTGGGGAAGACAGAAAGTCCACTGAGTTTGCTATCAATCATTGGTGAGGGACACGAGAGAATGGCAGCGTGTTCCCTCTGCAACGCGGTGCTGCAAATGCACATTCAGCCGATGACTGAGATGAACCGCGGAACTTACGGTCTTCCCCCGAGTAACCGATGACAATGGGAGACTCTGGGCCCAGCCCAAAGTCATTGACGGCCTGGACTTTGAGCTCATAAGGAGTAAATGTATCTGCATCGTAAATGTAATATTTCAGCCATTTAGTGGTGGCATTCTTCCACTCCTCTCTGGAGTCTCTTCTTCGCCACCAGACGAGATACTTGAGGTGTGGCCCGTTCCACTCTCTGTAAGTCAGAGGCTGACAGAAAAGGCCACAGTTGTAGTGCTGAAGCTTTTACGGGCTCCAAGGTACAGTAGCCCTTATGCGCACGTTCTTGTGGATGTGTTCTACCTCCCAGCTGATCTCCATGTTGTTTCTCCATGTTCCAACTCCTTTGACATTCTTTGGGATGACATCTGGAGCTGTGGACCAATTATTGAAATGGCTAGCTTGACATCTCTTGACATTCAAACATGCACATGACACGAAAACAACAGGTTTAGCAGTAAATGCTGGCTCAAACCAAGGAAGAAAGAAACTCTGCAATGCGGGACTATGAAACCCACGTGCACCGCTGGTCTGGAATCGCATAGATGGACGACTTGGGCGACTGGCACCAATTTGATTGATAGCAATGACGCGGAACTCGTAGTATGTGAAAGGCGAAAGGTGCAGAATGACCGAGTTGAGGCTCCCGGGGTATGTTGACAAGTTCTTCCACTTGCCGGGTAACCAGTCATCATCATCATATTGCACCAAGTATTCTGAAGAGAAAGACAAACAAATCATTCACATCGGATGTGCATGTGGTCCGCAGTAGGAAGTTGTGATTTCTTGCAAACGTGAATCCTACTTTCTACTGTATTTGCAGTAAATGGCAAGTAGCAATGCATACTTTCCACCAGTAGCAAAATGATCCAGACTTTAAAATGTTATGGTCTGCATCCTTCCTTTTCTAAGAAGACGACACGTTATTTATTGACTTAATGTTTTCAGATCAGTGTCAAGAGATTCATGAATGTACATGCAGTTGTCATGATCATCATCAATTTCTTAATAAGATGCCCCAAAAGGCACTTGGAACATGAACACGTGGAGTTAGTTATTTTGCAAAATGTGACAATCCACACGTTTCAAAGGCTATCTTTCTTGGCGGATCGGCATCAAAGTGATGTCTGTCTCCTGGGCCCTGCCCCATCACTTTAGACAGGTTCAGGATGCACAGTTTTTGCTTGAAAAGTACAGAGAAAGTGGCCACCTCAGTGTATTTCCCAACCTGTAATGGGGCTGAAGTTGCTGTCTCCAGGGACCCAAGTGAGTCTTACGCTGCGTTCATATGGATCGGACAGCTCCAGTTTGGTCGGAGGATCAGGATAATCTACACACAAACACATTCTGTATGCCCGTGTGTATATTCCATTGTGGCACTTTGAATTTGTATGCCAGTTTTGCACATTCCACAGCATTGATTATTGCAGAGCTTTCTCTCCACATATAGTATTTGCATAACTGTCATGGATGAATATTCCACACCACTAGACACTTGAAATTCAAAATTGTATTATAATTACTGCATGACCGCTCACTTGGCATGGTGCGACCATTATCTGCATCATCTGCACAACCGCCATAGTATTGTAAGTACCGCACCACCGATCCCTTTATTTCTGCTCCATGACACTCCCACATCACTGTTGCACAGCCGCCATTGGTCAGTATGACAGCACAAATGGGAGCCATACATTATG